AACTTGAGTTCTTCTAAATGTTTTGTCCCTCCTGGTGCTCCATCTCTCCCCCTCCTCCCCCTTGGCTGTGGAGATTCTGCTTCGTGGTTGAGAAGAAATTGAGTGGCAGCGGATCGGCACCACCTTATATGTCCTTGTTTGGAGGCTCAAGGTGCTGTTCTGCACAGGTTTGGGACCGTGGATGGTTTGCATTCTCTGGTGGGGAGCACACAGGGGCATGCACACATCCAATGATGGACCACCAAAGGGACAAAACATGTTGAAGAACTGAAGTTACTCTAAGGTAAGTACGCTCCTGGTCCCCTGTGCATTCCAAGAATTTATTGGAAATTTTGTGTTTTGCTGTATTACTTTTTCAACAGATGTCTGGGTAGTTAACGTCTCCCATTACTACGAAGTCTTGGGTTTTGCATAGTTCTGTTTGTTCCTCATTCACCTCTGGAAGTATTAGTACATAAGCTAAATTATGACTAAGGCTGCAAATCTGTCACGGAGGTCACAAAAGTCACGGATTCCGTGACTTTCCGTGACCTCCATGATTTCTGCAGCGGCTGGTGTTGGCTCAGGGGCTGCCTGACTCGGGGGTTGGAGAGTGCAGGGGGTGCTTACCTTGAGTGGGGGGGTTCCCCGGTTCCCACTGGCATGGCCTCCCTGCAGTTCCTACGTGGTTCCTGGCCAATGGGAGCTGCGGCAGCCGGCGTTTGTGGCAGGAGCAGCAGAACCCCTGCCTGGACCCTGCCTCTGCTGCCTAGGAGCTGCAGGGATGCGGAGCCAGGTAGGAAGCCCCTGCCAGCCCCGCCAACCCCCCTCTCCCCCAGTACCAGCGGCCGCCCCCCACTCAGAGCACCCATGGCCCCACGCCCAAGTTTTAGTCAGGACGGGTATTTTTAGTAAAAGTCATGGACAGGTCACGGGCCCGTGAATTTTTGTTTACGGTCCGTGACCTGTCCATGACTTTTACTAAAAATACCCGTGTCTAAAACGTAGCCTTAATTATGACGTAATTTGCCTCACAGTAGCTTGGTGTAATAAGTCTCATGACTGGAATATTGGTATAGAGGGGGAATAGCTTGTTCAAGAAGGACTGGCAGAATAAAAAGGGAGAAGGTGTTGCATTATACATCAAGAATACATCTCTACCTCAATATAACGCTGTCCTCGGGAGCCAAAAAATCTTACCGCATTATAGGTGAAACCATGTTATATTGAACTTGCTTTGATCCACCGGAGTGCGCAACCCCGCCCCCCCCGGAGCACTGCTTTACCATGTTATATCCGAATTCATGTTATATCGGGTCGCGTTATATTGGGGTAGAGGTGTATATACACTTTTTATGAGGTCCAGAAAGAGGTGAGAGGCCCACCAATTGAAAGTCTATGGTAAAGATAAAAGGGAGAAAAATAGGAGTGACATCTGTGACTCTATACCTCGGGGCACACCCTGCACCCCCATATTCATCCTTATGATTGTGTGGTATCCAATGTAAAGTTTGTCATGTCAGGTGTCTTCTGAAGGCTCATGATGCACTGAGCATTGTTGTTTATAGTAATGTTATAGGTTGTAATTTCATGTATATAGTTATGAGGCTGAAAATGTGTCCTCATGGCTTAAAACAAGCCCAAGCAAAACTCTCCAGGAGCAGAGGGACAGTTCACACCTCATCAGGGCATGTATGGGACAAACCCAGCCCAGCCTCACAGGAACAAAGGACACTGGCCTAGGCAGCAACAAAGGAGTTGTTGGACTCTCGAATGAGTCACCCCCCTTCCCTTGGTCAGTTTGGGACTACGATGGGGTAATGCTCACCTGACTTTGAAGGGTGGGGGCAAAGCCAAGAGGGAAGAAAGGACATGATAAAAATGAGAGACGTTTGCCATGCTCTCTCTCGCTTCCACCTACATCTACAGACACCACCATCAAGCGACTGAAGAACTGATCAAAGGGGAGAGCGTGGCTGAAGGGCAGCCAGCCTGCCTGTGGTGAGAAGCATCTAAGTTTGTAAGGGCACTGAAAGTGTTAGGATCAGCTTAGAATGTGTTTTGCTTTTATTTAATTTGACCAAATCTGACTTGTTATGCTTTGACTTATAATCACTTAAAGTCTATCTTTTGTAGTTAATAAATTTGTTTATTCTACCTGAAGCAGAGCATTTGGTTTGAAGCGTGTCAGAGACTCCCCTTGGGATAACAAGCCTGGTACATATCAATTTCTTTGTTAAATTGACGAACTCATATAAGCTTGCAGTGTCCAGCGGGCATAACTGGACACTGCAAGACGGAGGTTCCTAGAGTTGTGTCTGGGACCAGAGATATTGGCTAGTGTAATTCGGTTGCACAATCTATGGAGCAGCTTACATGCCAGAGGCTGTGCGTGAACAGTCCAGGAGTGGGGGTTCTCACAGCAGAGCAGGGTAAGGCTGGCTCCCAGAGTTGAGGATTGGAGTGACCTAGCAGATCACCTGTCTGCATAACACCAGGGGAATGTCACAACATCATGATAGGGGTCTACTATAGACCACCAAATCAGAAAAAGGAGGTGGATGAGGAACAAAACTGAAATATCCAAAAACCACCTGGAAGAAAATCTAAAATAATTGCTGTAATGTTTTCAGATGACAGAAAAATTGGTGGAGTGGTAAATAATGGTGAGAACAGGTAACTTATATGGAGTCACCTGGATCACTTGAGAAGTTGGGCACAAACAAAAACCATGCGTTTTAGCTAGATTCAAGGTCATACATGTAGAAGCAAAGAATGTAGGTTATAGTTACTGCATGGGGAACTGTATCCTGGAAAGCAGTGACTCTGAAGAGCACTTAGGGATTCTGGTGAATGACCAGCTGAACATGAGTCCCCAGTGTGATGCTATGGCTAAGGGTTTTATGTAATCCTTGGATGCATAATTAGAGGAATATCGAATAGGACCAAAGAGGTAGTATTTCTTCTGTTTATGATATTATTACAGTAATGGTCTCATCAGTGTGTCCAGTTCTGGTTTCTGTGCTTTAATAAGGATGTTGAAGAATTAGAGGGGGTTCATTAAAGAGCCACCAGAATGAGGTAAGATCTGGAAAGCTGCCTTTCAGGGGCAGACTTAAGAAGCTCAATCTATTTAGCTTATTACTGTGGGGCAAGCACATCCCTCTTGGGTCAGGATCGTTACAGCCCCATGGCTGAATCCACTCGACCACCCTTAGCCTTGGGGTGGTGCGACCTAGAGGCCAAAGTCAGTATGGCTGTCCTCTCCCTCAGGGTTGCATGGCCTAATAACCAGAGTCAATTTAGCTGCCCTCTCTTTTGGGGCTAGGTGGTCTGATGGCAAATGGGGAGAACAGGGCTGGCACCTAGGGGCAGGTGGCTGCTGGGACCCAGTTCCCTCTGCTCCACTGGGTCCCAGTCCAGGGTCCTGTCAGTGGTGAGAGTATTTGCCACTGAGTTAGTGGGGATCCGATCAAAACACACTGACATCACTTGGCCCAATGGCTAGTCCTCCCCTGGGCCACTTCCTACCCTGTCTCTCGAAGCAGTGGTCTGGGCATCTCTGGGGTCTCTGGGTTCCTCGGTGTGTGTAGCTCCTGATGGCACCGACCTCCCTCGGGTGTCTGTAGGCCTCTGGGTATCTGCCTGGGTCTCTGCATCTCTGGCTTCAGCGGTCTCAGGCTTCAGCAGCTCCTGGACTGGAGCCTGCAATGTGCATCCTCCCTCCTCAGCAGTCAGCCCTGACTGAGCTTAGCTGCTCCCTTTTATACCTGGGTTCCAGCTGAAGCATGCCCAGCAGGGCCAAGGGGGCATGGCCTCCTCTGCCCACAGTGTAGGATTAACTGCTGCTGAACAAGTGCAGTGCAAGCGTGCCCCGTCTCATTTATCAAAGAGAAAGTTCAGAGATGGTTGATCATGCTGTATAAGTACCTACACAGGAAGAAGATATCTGATGCCAGAAGGCTCTTTAACCTATCAGACAAAGGCATAATGAGATCCAATGTCTGGAAGTTGAAGCTAGCCAAATTCAAACTTGAAACGAGTCAGATTTCTAACAATAAGGGTAATTAATCACTGGGCAACTTACAAGGGATGTGTTGGAGTCTCCATCACTTGAAGTCTTTTACTCTTTAGGCCAGGTCTACACTACAGAGTTTTATCAGCCTAGCTATGTCTGTCAGAAAGTGTGAAAAATCACTCCTAACTGACATAGCTATGCTGGTAAATCCCCCCCGTGTAGACACTGCTTATGTTGGCAAAAGAGTCCTTTTGATGGCGTAGCTTATGTCATTCAGGGAGATGGTTTAAGTATACTGGCAAAAGACTTCTTTTTGCTGGTATAGTCTGCATCTCAACTAGGAGACTTTGCTGGTATAGCTGTACTGGCTTTGTAGTGTAGTCTAGCCTGGATTAGACATCTTTCTAAAAAATATGCTGAAGCTCAACCAGAAGTTATAGCCTATGCAGGAGTTTGAATTAGATGATTATAAGGGTCCCTTCTGATCTGAAAATGTATTAATTGTTAAATATTTACTTATTTGTAAGACCTGGTCTACACTGGGGGTGGGATCGATCTAAGTTACGCAACTTCAGCTACGTGAATAACGTAGCTGAAGTCGACGTACTTAGACCTACTCACTGTGGTGTCTTCACTGCAGTGAGTTGACTGCTGCCGCTCCCCCGTTGACCCTACCTGCGCCTCTCACGGCGGTGGAGTTGACGGGAGAGTGCTCGGGAGTCGATTTATCGCATCTAGACTAGACGCGATAAATCGATCCCCGCTGGATCAATCGCTGCCTGCGAATCCGGCGGGTAGTGTAGACATACCCTAAGAGAATGAAAACAATTATTTTGTAATTGTATGTTGTGAATGGAAAGTTAAGATGCATTTTTGTTTAAGAAATTACATTTTTGCAAGTTATATTTCTGAGTGCATTGTTCCTGGAAGAACCTTTCAGAAGCACCTATCAATAGTTCATAATTGACCACATTTCATATAGATTTGTTTGGTGTTGTTACAGTTCTAAGGTTTCTGACATTGACCATCACTGTGAGGAGTATAAGAAGCTGAAACAGCAGTTGGAGAGAAAACTCCAAGAAGTGGAAGGAGAGCTTGCTTTGCAGAAACAGGTACAGGAGTCTATAAAAAACAACTTTGTGTTAAACAAGCCAAAGTAGATGTAATTTCTACTTTACAGTCCATCCATTCTTATGGGAGAATTATGCATTATAGATAATAGAATCATAGAATATCAGGGTTGGAAGGGACCTCAGGAGGTCATCTAGTCCAACCCCCTGCTCAAAGCAGGACCAATTCCCAACTAAATCATCCCAGCCAGGGCTTTGTCAAGCCTGACCTTAAAAACCTCTAAGGAAGGAGAGTCCACCACCTCCCTAGGTAACCCATTCCAGTGCTTCTCCACCCTCCTAGTGAAAAAGTTTTTCTTAATATCCAACCTAAACCTCCCCAAGTGCAACTTGAGACCATTACTCCTTGTTCTGTCATCAGGTACCACTGAGAACAGTCTAGATCCATCTTCTTTGGAACCCCCCTTCAGGTACTTGAAAGCAGCTATCAAATCTCCTCTCATTCTTCTCTTCCGCAGACTAAACAATCCCAGTTCCCTCAGCTTCTCCTCATAAGTCATGTGCTCCAGCCCACTAATCATTTTTGTTGCCCTCCGCTGGACTCTTTCCAATTTTTCCACATCCTTCTTGTAGTGTGGGGCCCAAAACTGAACACAGAACTCCAGATGAGGCCTCACCAGTGTCGAATAGAGGGGAATGATCACGTCCCTCGATCTGCTGGCAATGCCCCTACTTATACAGCCCAAAATGCCATTAGCCTTCTTGGCAACAAGGGCACACTGTTGACTCATATCCAGCTTCTCGTCCACAGTAACCCCTAGGTCCTTTTCTGCAGAACTGCTTCCTAGCCATTCGGTCCCTCGTCTGTAACAGTGCATGGGATTCTTCCGTCCTAAGTGCAGGGCTCTGCACTTGTCCTTGTTGAACCTCATCAGGTTTCTTTTGGCCCAATCCTCTAATTTGTCTAGGTCCCTCTGTATCCTATCCCTACCCTCCAGCATATCTACCACTCCTCCCAGTTTAGTGTCATCTGCAAACTTGCTGAGAGTGCAGTCCACGCCATCCTCCAGATCATTAATGAAGATATTGAACAAAACCGGCCCCAGGACCGACCCCTGGGGCACTCCACTTGAAACCGGCTGCCAACTAGACATGGAGCCGTTGATCACTACCCGTTGAGCCTGACGATCTAGCCAGCTTTCTATCCACCTTATAGTCCACTCATCCAGCCCATACTTCTTTAACTTGGTGGCAAGAATACTGTGGGAGACCGTATCAAAAGCTTTGCTAAAGTCAAGGAATAACACATCCACTGCTTTCCCCTCATCCACATAGTCCGTTATCTCCTCATAGAAGGCAATTAGGTTAGTCAGGCATGACTTGCCCTTGGTGAATCCATGCTGGCTGTTCCTGATCACTTTCCTCTCCTCTAAGTGCTTCAGAATTGATTCCTTGAGGACCTGTTCTATGATTTTTCCAGGGACTGAGGTGAGGCTGACTGGCCTGTAGTTCCCCGGATCCTCCTTCTTCCCTTTTTTAAAGATGGGCACTACATTAGCGTTTTTCCAGTCATCCGGGACCTCCCCCGATCATCATGAGTTTTCAAAGATAATGGCCAATGGCTCTGCAATCACATCCGCCAACTCCTTTAGCACCCTCGGATGCAGCGCATCCAGCCCCATGGACTCGTGCTCATCCAGTTTTTCTAAATAGTCCCGAACCACTTCTTTCTCCACAGAGGGCTGGTCACCTTCTTCCCATACTGTGCTTCCCAGTGCAGCAGTCTGGGAGCTGACCTTGTTCGTGAAGACAGAGGCAAAAAAGTCACTGAGTACATTAGCTTTTTCCACATCCTCTGTTACTAGGTTGTCTCTCTCATTCAGTAAGGGGCCCACATTTTCCTTGACTTTCTTCTTGTTGCTAACATACCTGAAGAAACCCTTCTTGTTGCTCTTAACATCTCTTGCTAGCTGCAACTCCAAGTGTGATTTGGCCTTCCTGATTTCACTCCTGCATGCCTGAGCAATATTTTTATACTCCTCCCTGGTCATTTGTCCAATCTTCCACTTCTTGTAAGCTTCTTTTTTGTGTTTAAGGTCAGCAAGGATTTCACTGTTAAGCCAAGCTGGTCGCTTGCCATATTTACTGTTCTTTCTACACATTGGGATGGTTTTTTCCTGCAACCTCAATAAGGATTCTTTAAAATACAGCCAGCTCTCCTGGACTCCTTTCCCCCCTCATGTTATTCTCCCAGGGGATCTGCCCATCTGTTCCCTGAGGGAGTCAAAGTCTGCTTTTCTGAAGTCCAGGGTCCGTATTCTGCTGCTCTCCTTTCTTCCTTGTGTCAGGATCCTGAACTCGACCATCTCATGGTCACTGCCTCCCAGGTTCCCATCCACTTTTGCTTCTACTACTAATTCTTCCCGGTTTGTGAGCAGCAGGTCTAGAAGAGCTCTGCCCCTAGTTGGTTCCTCCAGCACTTGCACCAGGAAATTGTCCCCTACACTTTCCAAAAACTTCCTGGATTGTCTGTGCACCGCTGTATTGCTCTCCTAGCAGATATCAGGGTGATTAAAGTCTCCCATGAGAACCAGGGCCTGCGATCTAGTAACTTCTGCTAGTTGCTGGAAAAAAGCCTCATCCACTTCATCCCCCTGGTCTGGTGGTCTATAGCAGACTCCCACCACAACATCACCCTTGTTGCTCACACTTCTAAACTTAATCCAGAGACTCTCAGGTTTTTCTGCAGTTTCATACCGGAGCTCTGAGCAGTCATACTCCTCTCTTACATATAATGCAACTCCCCCACCTTTTCTGCCCTGCCTGTCCTTCCTGAACAGTTTTATATCCATCCATGACAGTACTCCAGTCATGTGAGTAATCCCACCAAGTCTCTGTTATTCCAATGACATCATAGTTCCCTGACTATGCCAGGACTTCCAGTTCTCCCTGCTTGTTTCCCAGGCTTCTTGCATTTGTGTATAGGCACTTAAGATAACTCGCTGATTGTCCCGCTTTCTCAGTCTGAGACAGGAGTCCTCCCCTCTTGCACTCTCCTGCTCGTGCTTCCTCCCGGTATCCCATTTCCCCACTTACCTCAGGGCTTTGGTCTCCTTCCCCCGGTGAACCTAGTTTAAAGCCCTCCTCACTAGGTTAGCCAGCCTGCTTGTGAAGATGCTCTTCCCTCTCTTCGTTAGGTGGAGCCCGTCTCTGCCTAGCACTCCTCCTTCTTGGAATACCATCCCATGGTCGAAGAATCCAAAGCCTTCTCTCCGACACCACCTATGTAGCCATTCGTTGACTTCCACAATTCGATGGTCTCTACCCAGGCCTTTTCCCTGCACAGGGAGGATGGACGAGAACACCACTTGCACCTCAAACTCCTTTATCCTTCTTCCCAGAGCCACGTAGTCTGCAGTGATCCGCTCAAGGTCATTTTTGGCAGTATCATTGGTGCCCACGTGGAGAAGCAGGAAGGGGTAGCGATCCGAGGGCTTGATGAGTCTCGGCAGTCTCTCAGTTACATCGTGAATCCTAGCTCCTGGCAAGCAGCAGACCTCTCTGTTTTCTCGGTTGGGGCGGCAGATAGATGACTCAGTCCCCCTGAGGAGGGAGTCCCCGACCACCACCACCCTCTTCCTTCTCTTGGGAGCGGTGGTCGTGGAACCCCCATCCCTAGGACAGTGCATCTCATGCCTTCCAATCGGTGGAGTCTCCTTCTGCTCCCTTCCCTCAGATGTATCATCTAGTCCACTCTCCGCATTAGTACCTGTGGAGAGAACATGAAAACGGTTGCTCACCTGTATTTCCATTGCTGGTACATGGACACTCCTCTTTCTTCTTCTGGAGGTGACATGCTGCCAAGTTTCTTCACCGTCCCTCAGTCGCCTCTGCGCAACCTGCTCCGATTCCTCAGAACGTTGTGCCTGTAGAAGCATATCCTGACGTCTGTCCAGGAAATCTTCATTTTCTCGTATGCAATGCAGGGTCGATACTTGTTTCTCCAGACCTCGAACCTTCTCTTCCAATATAGAGACCAGCTTGCACTTTGTACAGACAAAGTCGTTTCTGTCCTGTGGAAGAAAGACAAACATGGCACAACCTGTGCAGGTTACAACAACTGAACGCTCACCTTCCATAATTTCTTCCTTCTAAGAGCTTCCTCAGCTGTTGCAGCAACTCACAGAAGCTCGTGAGATGTAAGCCTCAGTGGGCTCTCCCGAGGCAAACTCCCTCTGTTAGCCTCCACTGTTCGCCGCTCAGCTGGTTCGCTGCTGACTGCCTTTTTATACCAGTCAGGCCCACTCAAGGCCCACCTGGAACAAAGCATTCCCAATTCACACTGTTCAAACAATCAAGCACACGGTCAAAGTGACAAACTGTCCCCTGCAACAGACACTCGGATACTCACCAACACAGCCCCCCTAATGCAGCACTTAGCGTACCTCCTCTCTGACAGATCCCGGGCAAACTCCCTCTGTTAGCCTCCGCTGTTCGCCACTCCCCTCTGCTGTTTGCTGCTCGAGATGAATCCTCTGGGTAGGTGTAGTTATCTGATATCTATTCAGGCAGTCCTTTTTAGCTCTAATGTTAAAATTAATGTAAGATGTGCAATGGGCAGTACTGCATGTTGCTTTACAGTAATAGGTGTCATGTGGTATTTGCATACTGGCGGGTGCTTTACTTACTAGTCTGGCAGCCTCCCCTGGGGAAGAATTGGTAAGATTATGTTTAGTAAACTGAGGTGGTGTAAGATTCTTGTATATGAGGACACAGCTAGCACACTGTGCTAAATTGGCTAACCTTGAAATTCCAGGAAAGGTCAGCTTCTATAAATCAGAAGCAGCTTTAGGCAGGCATATAGGCTAAATAAACACATTAACATGTGCCAGCATGCCGTACTTCTCTGATTTCAAGACTTTTTCCTCCCACTTTTTATGCCATTGTTAACACACAATCATCTGCTACTATTAATACTCAATCATTTCATAATATGAGAATACTTAGCAATGGAGTTTGTTTGAGCTTTAGTTGTGTCACCTGACTGAAGGTGTCTTACTACTCATATATTGCAAAAATAATTTTTTTTAGGATAATTTTATTCTCTCTTCACTTTTTTTTTTTTTTTTTAATTTTATTTAGGACGTTTCAAGTTTACAAGTCATTGCCATGTAAATATCAGAAACAAAATGATAATCATTACAACAGTGGACCTATTTTTTTGTTTAGCAAAACATGCAGTCATATAATAATCAAATCTCTCTATTTAACAGGGGGTTACCTTGACAGGAGTATTGGCCTGCTGGATGGTGGGAAGCAGGAGATATGACATATTTTGATTTTCATAAGGCTTTTGACACAAGCCTTACGAAAATCAAAATTTATCATATTTACTGCTTTTTGGGTCATTCCTGGGTCTGGTACGACTCAGTATTTTCATTAATTACTTGGATAATGGAGTGGAGAGTATGCTTGTAAAATTTTCAGATGACACCAACCTGGGAGGGGTGCAAGCATTTTGGAGGACAGAATTAGAATTCAAAACAACCTTAACAAATTGGAGAATTGGTCTGAATTCAACAAGATGAAATTTAATAAAGTTAAGTGCCAAGTACTTCACTTAAGCAGGAAAAAATCAAATGCCCAACTACAAAGTGGGGAATAACTGGGTAGATGGTAGTACTGCTGAAAAGGATCGGGGGTTACACTGGATCACAAATAGAACATGAGTCAACGATGTGATGCAACTGTGAAAAAGGCTAATATTCTGAGACTAATATTCTGAGTGTCATGTATGACTGAGGGGGAAACTGATAAGTCTTCAAATATGTTAAAGGCTGTTATAAAGAGGACCGTGATCAATTGTTCTCCATGTCCACTGAATGTAGGATAGGAATTAATGGTCATAATCTGAAGCAAAGGAGATTTAGGTTAGCTATCAGGAACAACTTTTCTAACAGTAAGGGTAATTAAGCTATGGAATAGACTTCCAATGGAGGTTGTGGAATCCTCTTTATTGGAGGTTTTTAAGGACATGTTGCAGCTGATACAAAACTACTCAAGATAGTTAAGTCCAAAGCAGCCTGTGAAGAGCTACAAAGGGATCTCACAAAACTGGGTGACTGGGCAATAAAATGGCAGATGAAATTCAATGTTGATAAATGCAAAGTAATGCACCCTCGAAAACATAATCCCAACTATCTATATAAAGTGATGCAGTTTAAATTAACTGTTACCACTCAAGAAAGAGATCTTGGAGTCATTGTGGATAGTTCTCTGAAAACATCCACTCAATGTGCAGCAGCAGGGGGCTGGATTTGATGACCTCTTGAGGGCCTTTCCATCCAGTGGCGCTGGAACACTTTTACAGTGGGAGTGCTGAAAGCCAGTGGTCCCCAAACTTTTTGCTTTGCACCCACCTTACCCCTGTCTGTGCCCCCTCTCCCCAGAGCTGGGGCCAGGACCAGGCCATGGCTCTGGGAAG